AATGGACTTGAAAACTTTCCATGTTCAGCATGAAATGCGGATCAGGAGCTCTAAGATTACATGAAATTAAATGATCATTCAGTAAATTAAGGAAGCCAAGCTGAGAGTATTTTTCTTGTTTATATCAACCGCATCAGTGATGGAATTTGTGCAACTGAAAATGTGATATGAACATTGTGATTGAATGGTCATTTTAATTATCATTGATTAGATAGGGGGAAAGGGAACATAGTTTGCATATTTGCAACCACCTTAGTCTTTTATGGCTGGTACTAAGTTTGTAAATCATAGAAACTCAAGCCATTGCATTTATATCAAATTCCACTACTTGTAGTTATAAATACATTTCAAGCTTGTCTGATCAATGATCAATGAAAAGTATACACTATACAATATAAAGATAAAATCTACATATCTTCAATATAAAAAAATAATTGTAGTTAGCTCTAAGTCATGTGTATGACATTTTTTCTCACACACTTTCATTTGGCTAGAGGCATAAGATATCAATATGCAGTGTTGCACAACTCAAATTTTAATAAGAATCATCACTAGAAATCTAAAATACATTAGTCCCCTATGAAGGGATGATGAGAATTGGAATTGGGATTAAGCAATCCTTGAGGTTTTGATGAATTTGCTCATAGAAATCAAATCATGCATTACTTAAATTGACTTTGAGTTGGGCTTCGTTTGGGACGGCTTTCTTACTGCTTCTTAAGAAAGCCGTCCCAAATGAGGCCTTAATCTGTTTGAGGTGCAGCAAAAGCAAAAAATCTCAAGAAATCTATTGACAATACCTAAATCGAAGAAATTATATTTGAAATACTGATTAGTCTCGGCCAATCTATCATTGCCTTGACCTTAGTAAGCTCAATAGAAATAGTATGTCCACTTATAATGATGTAGGGTGTATAGTGGGATTGGGAGAGGAGGGTTTAGCTGAGTAATAGTAATCGGTATATATGAAAATCTAATAAAACTAAAATGGTAATGATAAAATTCTCATCAAAGAGGGATATTTCGGGTTACCTAAATTAGAGAGAAAAAGAATAGCCACCAAGATCTTGTAAGGATGAAGAGTATTTCTCTTATAGGATGTCTATTTCATTCCACTTTTTTTTTCCCTTATATTTTATGATATTCAAAAGCATTACATATAATGAGAAAAAAATAATAACAAAGAATTCAATGAATGGCTAAACTACAATAAATCTATATAGAAACCTTTTTTAGGCTTCATAACACCACCTTTAACATTTGAAGATATTTAATTCTATTGAATGCAATTTTTGGATTATTAAAGAATCCTTTAGAAGGTTGGTCATGCCTACTTTTACTTGGGACTTTGATGATTAGATAAAGCGAGGTAACAATGGTGTTATAAAACTTTAAATAACTTTGACTTTGGACTAAAATTCTAGCTCACACTAAAAATTTACAATAGTATTTTAAATATTATTTTCCCAATCGAAGAAATACTTAACAAAAAAGTATTCCTTCATGAAGCCAAGCATCATAATCTATCTGCGCGCTGTACTTTCTTTTTTTCAATGCAAGAGGAAAAGTTCTTAAGAATTGTTTTAAACTCGATTCAGCACTCCTCCATTAGCATGAAAGAGTTTATGAAACTCCAAATCCTATGTTAGCATGCATCTCATCCTGATCTGTTGGCTAGGAGCTTTGACTATAAACTAAGAGGTATTGAGTTCATCTTAGGCTTCGTTTGGAACATCTTTATTTCCGCTTTCTACAACCACTTTTTAGTTTCTATAATGGTCGATGAGCTTGTTAGTTGCTTTGGCTGCGTTTCTTGCTGAATTGCTTGAATAATGAGAAAAGTAACATCAAGAGTAGGAGCTCCAATGATCCCATTACTAAGGTGATTTATAGACCATGAAACCTCTAAGGGCAAGGGCAACTTCCCCATTAATTCTTGTCACCTCTTCTTATGGGTGTCATTTTGTGAAAATAAAATAGAGCAAGCTAAAACAAAAATAAATAGGCAAATAGTACATAAAATTCTTAATAATACTTAAAATGAACTTAAAGTATTGCTTTGATATCAGTCTATCACACCTTAGATCAGGAAGGTGATGTATCTCAACAATCAAGATAAAATAATTGAGTTTGATCTGAACTTCTGAGTTAATATCATGATTTAAGATCAAATGCAATAGTTTTGTATTAAAAAATTTCAATTATGAAAAATTATAACAAAAAAAAAAAACATATAATTTATAATGTATTGAACAAAATTAAGCTAATGAAAGAAATTAGTTGCATGAGAAATAACCATCCTAAAATTCAATAGAATTCTAAGGGATTGTTTGGTTGGAAGAAAAGTGAATGCAAAGTAAAATAAATATATTACTTGTTCATTTTTAATACATTTTTGATATTTGATTGGATGAGAAGCAAATCAAAGGTAAAATAATGTAAATGCATTCTATTCTATTTTAATTCATTGTTCAGATAAAACTTTCTTGCCCAATTTGAGCAAGAACGTTTTACACCGCTCAAGTGCTTCATTGATCACCTACAGAGGCCATCATCTCCATTGCTATCGTACGTCGGCGGCTGCCGTCCGGCTGTTGCTCCGTCATTTCCCACCACCGCTTGTCGTCACCGGCTAACCGCCCTCCAACTTTGGTCGTTGGCCACCGGCCACCGACAACCACCCCGAGCACAACCTTTTACACTTAACATTGCATTCACTTTACACCAAATCAAACAAAGAAAATCATGCATTTCTTTTGCACTCATCAAAATAACTCTAAAGTATTCCTTTTATACTTCATTTCTTTTTTTAAGCAATAAAACAATCCTAAACAAGAACTTCAACTTAATTATAAATATAAATCTAATGAAATAATTAATGTTAAAAGATCAATACACCCTTTATGATATGGAACATGATGATAGGATTTATTTTTTTTAACTCATAGGACTACCTCAAGATTGGGCTATAAGCTAGAAATAAGTTTATTTATTTTTATATGTAAGAGTTGTAAGAATAAAATATTAAAGAAGACAAGCAAGCTCTAATTATTAGAATATTTAATTATAAACATTTTCTAATATTTCTCACTCTAGATTTTACTTTATATATAATGAAAATTATTATTTTTATATAATATACATAAAGTTTTTTAGAGTATGTTTCATTTGGGATGACTTTTTTACGACTTTTTAAAGTAGTTTTGTAGTATAAAAATTTTAATTGAATTTTATAAAATACAAAGTGTACTAGAAAATTATTCTAACAATTAGTAAGAAAGTCAATCCCAATTGAGGTTAACTCTACAACCCAATTGCTACTATTTAACTCAAATCAGAGGCAAAACTATCCTCTATTTTTGAGGGGATAAAATAAGATTGTGAAATGCATAATTTTATGTGTGGAACAAAAAATTTAAATATTTTTTTAAAAGAAAAAAAAAATAAATGCTTATTTTTTAAGGAAAAAATAACATTTTTGGGTGGGTAATTGCTGAAAATGAAGGAAAATGAAGGAAAGTTTGATATTGCAGGTGATAAGGAAGGAAATTCAAATTAAGATGAAAAAATGGCAATCTATGATTCTATCTAGGAGGTAAATGATTTCATGTCTTATAATAATTTACATGATACACTATTTGAAATGAACTAATCATTTTTTAAATTGAAAAGCAAATATTACGTGTTAAACAAAGAGCATGGAAATTTAAATATCTGTCCTATTTATCTCCCACGATCTTCGTGATTCACTCGTCCTGCAGGCCCAACCGCTCCCACTATTAAAATGAGAAGCCATCAAAACCCTTAGTTCCGATTGCATTCCCTTCTCTCAGTCGAGCCCAGTTGCGGCCCTTCCGACTTCCCGACCCTCAGCCAACCTCCCTCCGACTTCCCGACCCTCAGCCAACCTCCCATTCGAGCCCTTCCTCCTGCTTCCACCTCCCACTCCAGCAAATATGATCTATATTGATCTACCCGCCTCCTCTCACTCGAGCTCCTCTATGACCCTCTGACTCATTGCCTATGCTGAAATCAACGGCCGAGCGCCAGATCCAGTGCCAATCTTGACCAAACAGCTAAAACCCACACTTGTAAGACCCCCAAGAATTCGACCCAGCTCTAGCCGAACTTGACTTGCTTCCATCTGTTGAAGCCAAACCGACACCTTCCCCTCTATTTCCAGCACTTGATCCCGCAACCCTCCGATCGTGATACCTGTGCAGAATCACACCTATTTGATTTACCTCCCTGCTTGCCTCTCTGTGTTGATATACTTGCAAGCTAGAGGTGAAGCATCGACTAACTTGCCAAACCCCTTAGAAAACTCAAACCCGTATCCTACTGATCTATCCCATTCACTATGCCGACCTCATCCCAATCAATACAGAGGGTAAATTTTTTAATTAATTATTGATTAATTATAATTAGTTATGTTAATTACAATTAATTATAATTGATTATAGCTAACCAATTATCATTAATTATAGTTAATTATAATTAAATATTATAGTTAACTATTATTAACTATGATTAGTTATACTTAATTAAAATTAATTATAGTTAATTACTAGTAATTATAGTTAATTATTACTAATTATAATTTATTAAAAAAATGTTTGCCTTAGTCCTCGTGTGTCGCCGATCTTAATGTCAACATCAATACAACCGCCAACACTGCCGCTGACCTTGTCGCACAAGGTATAATCCCCCAAGTCCCACCCTCAGTGCACATGACGTGTCGGGCAACCACCATACATGCTTTTCTTAGCGTGGTAGAAAGGAACTTGGTGCGACAGCTACGACGAGTCGGGTAGGCCTTGTACATGATTTTCTTAGTATGACTGGGACAACTTTAAGTACCCAAACCCTGCCTAGTGCCTGCGGAAAAAAGAATTGTACATTTCGAAGAAGGTACCCCAAAGACCCATACATGTCTTTCTTGACGTTGTGGGATTAAAGACCACGGCCGCGGTATCTTCGGAAACCTACCATACACGTCTTTCTTAGCGTGGTGGAAAGGCCTAGCTCTTCAAATTTCCCTCAAACGGGGGATATGCCAGGATGTTGCTACAATTCAGAGTGAGATGCACATGAGTTGAGCAAATTACAGGGGACATGATTCAAATTGAACAACATGAAACTGGACTATAAAATGTTAAAATGCACAATTAAATTACCAATACCAATGCTAAATGATAATTCAAGCATTAATGAACAAGTGATTCATGATGAGAAGATTTCATAGCCATACATGAAAAGAAATAATCACTTCATAACATATATAATATCATATGCAAAGCCACCAAGTAAATAAGACCAAATTGGACTTTCATATGTATTCTAAGTCTGGAAAAGTTAAAAGCGCTTACTGCATTCTCATATGAAAGAGCAATCTCGTTATGAGGATCTCCAAATTCAGTCATTACACCTCCAGAAGATTTTGATATCTCACTAGGTTTTTCAAAATCTCCAGTTCTTCGAAATTTGAACTTTGGCAAGTGGCGAATGTCCTCTTCAGATGCTCCCTCCTGCCTCAAGAATAAAGGAAGCTTAGAATCAAAATAGTACAACATAATGAGTTGATTTGGTCATCCGTTCCTAAGTTGATTGAGGGCTTTGGCTCTATCAAAGAGATCTTATGTTCAAGAATTGGCATAGATGTGTGTTTGATTATACATTGCATTGCTATTTAACAAAATTGTATGGTTCTAGAATTACAACCATCTTTTTTGGTTGCTGAATATGTTTGAAATCTAATTTTCTATCTAAAACAAATAAGCTCTTTGGATATAATATCTCACATAGGCCAGAAACATGGATATAACAAAGAAATTATAGATAATTTTACCCTAAAAAGTTTCAATAACTACTATAAATTTCTCAAACAATAGTGGATAAAGATCTTATGAGTGAAGGTTGTAAATGTCGCTCAAATAACATTAACAGGAAAAAGTAAATGACAGAGACATATAACTTATTATAAAAATCTAGCAACTAAAAAGTTAAAATCAAAGTTTGGGGACAATGAAATTAGTAACGGCCTACAAATGATTTTCAATAAATTAAACATCAAATTTAAATACAGATTCTAATACGAGCATTAAATTACTTGAGCATGAGTATGAAGACAGATTTCAAAATATATCATGTTTTTAAACCTAACTTTGGTCCCTAGCTAATGAACTCCTCACCTAGCGTTCATATGAAGTAAACCTTACACAAGAGAGAAGTTATGTTTATCCACAATGAATTAAATATTATCAATCAATTCCCATCCTAACAATATAAATCCTAATGTCCTAATGCCATGGTGCTCAAAAGACAACACAAAAGAACTCTCCAGCACAATTTGTAGATGATGCATGCTATACACAGTACACATTTCATACATCCGATGCCTAGGAGATTTCTTTTGACTGAGTTGCACAACAAAGCACCTATTGTACAACAAGCAGTAAATGAGAAACAATAGCAACACGCTTGCTTTCAAATTTGCAAAACAAAAAAACGCACACACCCACAAAGGAAAAATACCCAGAACTGGTATGTTCACTGCATAGACACCTTGGTAGCTCATAGCAATTTTAACGTTCTGAAACACTAGTTCATGATGATAAATAAATGCAAAATTGATACTTGCTAAATAACTAGTTCTTTAGAAAGATTGTCGCATTCAAGATAAACTTGAAAAATAAAGTAAACTAGTCACCCTACACCAACCCCTATCACTCACTGTCACCCCTTTCATTACCTTCTATTTTCTGGAAGCTTCCTCAACTTTCTTAAATAGCAACAATTCTAATGATCATGAGGCATCCATACATATTAGCAAGCTACTAATGCTTTCTGTCGCTTCTCTGTAAATACGCCTTATCCACTTCATTAATTTTTGGGTGGGTGGATGATGCAATTGAGCCATCTTTAGTCTTTACTCAAGAGTATATTTTGCGTTAATCTTTATTAGCATACTATCTGTAAATTTGGGTTAGTTTGGCCTTTATTGTATCCAATCAAAGGTAACTTTGCGACATTTTAATAAGCATACTTTCTATAAATAAGACCTAGTATTTTGCACTTGATCATTAGAGTTTGAAAAAAAAAATTATTCTAACTTCCAGTCACCTACTTATTTAAGCATCAGCTACTAAATATACTTGAGCTCCATTAAACGACTTATAAAACTATAATTTATGACTATATTCATGTCTTCCTTCAGAATATGCTACATATAAAGATGCTTTTAAAATCAAAGGTGGATGAATCATATTGTCTAATAATTACTTTGATCAATTGTATTTTATGAAAATAGCTCACTTCCTAAAATAATTACTTTTATCAAAATTATTGAGACTTTTCTTGAATTTCTTTAGTGTTTATCATAAGCTTTCAACTTTTAAAGAAATTTCCCATCATACGTATTACTTCACTATCCCTACATACAACTTATTTTAATTACAACAACAACAACATCATCAAGCCCTACATACAACTTATTTTAATTATGATGCATTATTTGTAATTCATTTGCATGATTGATTTACTAACATTAAAAAAAAAAGTTTTTCTTCATATTGGAAATGTTATAATTGGAAATTATATTTAGTTTGTACCTAACTTGTATGCTTTATGCATTCTAACTTCAATATATTACCTATCAAAGCATCAAATCCTAGCACATATTATATTTTACAAAGCTAGCAACTATTATATTTGTACTTATGATTGGTCTTTCAACATAAATGTTAATTTTACTTCCATATTGAGGTTCATCACCTTTTTCGATGCTCCAAAGTTCCCTGCAAGTATCCTTGTAAGTGGAGTTTTGCTTTCCTACCAGTCAGAGACAGTTCCACAGTCACTACCAATAAATGATTCTTGCGTGGCCCATGAAGAGCTATAATGCATCTCTCCTAATTTTTTGGATTAGCATCTTTAGTATAATTCTACAGGGGGACAGTTCTTCAAGTAGTTGATGTTGGCCCAATAAGAACTTACAATAGGCAACATTGATTAGTTATTTTCCAGCTTTGCTAATGTTAGCATATTAAATTTTTCTTTGATGCATTTGGACTTACCTATTTGATAAGGTTTAGAAATCTTTTTACCATAAATACAACCCAAGGGTATGGATGATGAAAAATGATAGACTGGGTATTGAATGAAACTGGTTTCTCAAACCTAGCCATCTGCTCGCCTTCTAAGATGCGTCTTCCTCTTTTTATTCTTGTTCTTTTGTCTTCCTTATTGAGTCACTCTTTTAGTATCCATTCGTCTGTTTTCTTTCATCCATTTTGCTTCTCTATATCAGTGAAAGGGGTTGGAAGAGTATGCCCAGTTTACATTAAATAACAAAAATTTCTAGATTTTGTGAAATGCCATCAGATGCCATTGAAAGCAACAAGGTGTCCAACACGAAAGGAAAAATGCATAAAACTTTTCACCTTACATTTTGAGCGTATAAAGCACAGAAAAAACATTTTTTATAACCATCACATTGATGGACCGGACCGACCGGTCCATCCCATAGCAACACCGGCCCAAACTAGGCCGGTTTCTGTTTACCAAAGGAGGAACCGCCCACCACTTGGGCGGTTGGCCGAAGGAGAGGGAGGGAATAACCGCCCACTTGGTGATTAATTTTCCTCTTTTCTAGTCTAGTGTTTGGGAGAAAGCTTCTCTTCTCGAATTGAGAGCATTGTATCCATGGAAACATGTAAGTCTTTTGATATTTAAGTTAACAAAGTGTTTGTGATTGTTTTCCTTCAAGAATTTCCCACTTTTCCTACTGTTTTTGGGCTGTTTTTACTGGATTCCGAAATTTGCAATTTAAGTTGCATCACACATGTCGCAACTTAACCAACAATTTCAAATGTTAACCATAACAGTTATCAAAATTTGATAACTAAAGTTTTTCTACAGTTAGCTATGTTATAAAAAATGCATCTGGAATCAGTTCACAAGGGTGAAGTGCGGTTAAAAAAAAATACATTTTTTTTGCGAGATGGTCAAACTCTAAACTTTCTACTAGCTCTTCATGTTGTTCAACTGAAGCAGAATTACCCACAACTTGAGAAGGGCACAATCAACCAAAAGCATACATACAACAAATATAAAAAAACACTCTCAACCAAGCCGTAAAGAAAAAGAGGCTCGTCACATAGATAAACTGATTAGAGGAACAAATAGACTCATCCAACAACATATGAAATTACACAAAAAGCTGCAGCATGGAAGAATGCATCACTAAGGATCTTAGACACAAAATCATCCCCACCATTATTCAACAATTGCATCTCGCTTGTGAGTATGAACTGTGCATTCTTATAGTGTGGGTGGTGCTAGCTCAACCATAGTCAGTAGGCACCAACACACTGGTTCGTAGAGGCACTCCCAATATCAGACACCAAATCCTCCATGGACACATAAATTTGAGGTACCATACCACAATCATACCCTCAGCCTAATCTGCTTTTCCACTTCTATACCCCCAGGAGGGGACAAAGAGCAATTTTTCCCTCTCAAATTCACAATTTTATAGCCATTGTCTTATATTTGCATTAGCATTTTCTTGACAAACCATCAAATTAACGGATAGGTTTAGCCCTGGGTTGCACCATGCAATACTCCAACCTGCACGCTCCTTACATGTATAGAAACGCTATGCCCTTGAAGATGATCTCATACCTTGCTTGCATGCACCTGCCATTCAACTAAGTCCAAAATGCACTCCACTCCAGGCCACATAACAATATTGCTTGATTTGCACTCCGCATCATACACCATTAGTTCAACCCTCTGACCCAACGCTTCGCACTCTAATGTAGAGCACCGGTGCACACATTCTAATTGAAAGTAATCTTTTATATAAACATTTGGTAAGCAATTCGCAAATGTTATTTCTAATAAACTCTGACACTAAAAGGTTTTTAAGAGTTTTATGGTGCAAGTGAAATATTACAAGAAACTGATACTTGCTGACAAACAATCATATGAAATCAACCTGATCATTAATTCTGCCAACCATCTAAAGGTAAATTATTTTCAATTTGTTATGTTTCTTCATGGTGACGTGTAGGTCATAGATTCAAGTCATAGACATAATTTTTTTAATAATGCAAGGGTAATACTGTATACATCAACAGCCAAATCTTGAATAGGAGGGGAGCTTGCCATATTATTCATCTGGTCATATGATCATGTACATCACAACACCTTACACCACTAGAATCAATGAAGTTGTCAGTCAAAAGTGTTGCTTTCCTATATTTATCATGTACACTGAAGTTATTTGGCTCAGAGATCCGCTGCAGCATCAACTTTCAGCACCAACCCATTAGTCATATCAAACCAATGTTTAAAATTGTGTATTTGGGTATTGAGGCATTTTTCATTCGTGAGGCGAGGCGTAAGCCTCAAGGCGTAAGCCTCAAAATCAAAAAATTGCGTAAACATAAAATGATAAATTTTTTATATACTAATGAGTAAATAATATAAAACATAAAAAAGCATAAGATATTAAGTGAAATCAAAATATCCCAATAATAAGACAACATGAAATATAGTTCAACTCAAAATTCTATCTTTCCCAAATCCCAGTATTCTTTTCATTAACATATAATTCCAATTTTCAAAAATAAATATTAAATATCAATGACATATCACATAAGAACTCATACGTCATCAACACTGTCATCACTAAGTGGTTCTTCATTTGAATTATCATTATGATGAACTCCTCTCTCCACTTCCTCCTCTCCTATAGAGTCCAATGTCGGACATTTACTTCAAGATTTATATAAGTTTTAATATATATAGTGTGAGGCATAAGCCTCATGCCAGTGAGGCGAGGCGAGCCTCAACCAAGTTGAGGCGCAAAGCCTCATAAAAATAACTCGAGGCGTAAGTATCGAGACATTTTTTACTGGAATTGCACAAAGGCGAGCCTCATATTGCGCAATTTTAAAGCGTGTATCAAACTTCTACTTTTAAACTGTTACTGTAGAGTTCAACAGAGCAAGGACCAGGTTTATAGAGGTGAAAGGCCATGCTGCATACATGATTGTAAACGATGGTCCCCAAGAAAAAATAGTGGCCATAAAAGTCGAGTTTTCTTAGCATATTATAGAAACTTGAAGAGTAATATACAAGTACACTACTAACGAGATTTACCTGATCTGCGACAGCATATAAAATTGCAATGATGCATGGTAGGCAGCAGCAAACAGCAATGCCAATAATGCATGCCAGAGCAACACAGAAAACAACAAAGAACACATCAAATGCCAGAAACACAATGCAAAGCCTGCAAGAGAAGACTGAGCGAGCATAGTTAATCAAGCAACGAAAATAAAAGGAAAAGTGAGGAGAGAGAAATTAATTATGTTTAAATTGAAAAGCGAATAGGAAACTATTCTCACCAGTAGAGTTGAGGAGCATCACGAGTCAAAACTTGGCCTCCAGCAGACACCCAGTAGAAACCAATGATCCACCATATGAATGAGAACATTGTGTTGCCGGACTCTAGATGTTTCGCAATGCTGGAACCAAAATTGAAAATAGATAATAACCAAAAAAAACTGGAGAACAAAACCAAAGAAACAATCAGTTAAGAACAGTAGCATAAACCAAAAGAGAACTTCGAAGAAAGTCAACAAACCGGGATAGCCATCATGGTTAAAATTTCAAAGATATTGAAGGTTAAATGCATTTAGACAAACAAAGGCCAGCATATCAGAGAAATTCACATCCAGTTCGCTGATCAATAAAACTAACACAATTAATACTAACATTAATTGAGGTTGAATACTAACATATCCAATATTGATAAAAAAGATAACTACCACACTAGAGGCTTTCACATCAGACACTTAAACTATTCCAAAACAGAACAAAACCGTGCTCATGTCTTCCATATATATATATATATATAGTTCCCAATAGAACTTTCAAATTAATACCGCTATCAACCATCACAAAACCTTTCCTGATGGTGTACAGTAATTGCAATCAAAGAGGTGAATTTCACATCAGACACCCAATGTATTCTCTCTCTTCATCGGTTCTCTGCTCTTCGGATCCGAGACATGTTTCCAAACTACTTCACTACAGTCCTGCATATCTGATGGTGTTTGCCGTGCTGTATATTGACTCCCTCTTCTAATGGTTCATGCCCAAGATTTGAAATTTCAAAGCCAGTTCATTCTTAAGATTACCTACCGAAGCCTCAATCTGCTGAAGTTCTTGATGATGAGACTAATATTGATCCGCCATCTTGCAAGATTGGCATCCATATTCTTGAAATTTGACATAATATATGTTCCTCAAAAGGCTGACCTTAGCATATTTTCTCATTGAGCACCTGATTCATGTAGATTCACCGCTTAATGATGATCCAGCTGATCGGCAAATTTTGCTCATTCAAAAAAAAAAAAAAAAGTTACAAATTCGCGAGATGCATTTTGATAGTGTCATCAATTAAGCCCGCCAACCTGCAAATCTTCCAAAGGCTCGAGCGGGCATTGGCCTCCTCTTTATGACATTTAATGGAAGTATAATGAATTACTTATTCAAAACTATGTCTCGAACCAACAACGAAACTAAATATAAGGCTTCAATGGTGGGTCCCAAAATTTTCATTTAGATAGGGATCCAATACTATCATATATTCAGCGATTCTCTTGTTATAAATCAAGTGTTGATCATCTACAAGATTAATAAGCCTAAATTAGTTCATTGTCATAAGCGGGTTTTCAAGCACATGAGGTAAATTCATAATGTCATATAATAACTCAACTCTGCCGAGCTAAAAAAAAGCAAAACGGATTCCCTAACTAAATTTTCCAAAGAAATGGCAAGTATGAAAAACTTGTTTGTGTTGATTGGAGTCCACACTCATTGAGTGCTAGACCCAACCATTCTACAATCCTCATGGAAGAGGGGTCATTAAATTCAGACTAGCATAATGCAA